ACTCACCGTTAAAAGATGCAACCAGAGTTTCATTCGTGGTTCAACTGCTTCTCTCGCCATATGAATTTGAGCCTCCTGGAATCAAAAAAGTTGGTTTAAATAAACAATATTATTTTAGAAATTGTCTCCCTTCAGAAGTTAAAAGTTCTTTTTGGGAGAAAATTTAAATTTATTCATAAAAATAGTTCAACCTTGAATTCAGTAATAAAAATTTCAACCATTACAGTTTTGAGAAGCAAATAAATTCATTACACAACTTTTGCTTTTTAAATCGGTCCTAACTATTTATATCCACTTAAACTTAATCTGGAATGTATTTTTTTTATTGCAGTCGTGTCAACACAAATGTCTGATCGCCGATCAACCTTCGCCCTTTATGAGATTATGCTGCAAGGAAAATCTCCAATCTTTTTTATTCGGCATTTTTTTTTTTTACATCGAACTTTATTGATCATCAATTTTATCAATGTTTTGCATTATAAGAAATATATTTCCAGGAAACGACACTATTTGAATATGCAGCAATAAAGATTGATACATTTTCAGTTGGAAAATTTGTTTACTTTTTTGTAAATAGTTTTTATGGGTTGAAATTCCCTGCCCGAAATTTGACCTATTATTTTTGCACAAACGTTGTCGTATATTAAAATATAGTGGAATTCCTCCTTTTAGAGCACCCATGTATTAACAAGCGCTGTTTTTCTGCAGTTTCAAAGACACCGTCGTCGTGTATCCTGAGCGCACAAAGCTTGAAGATGATGCCTATGCTATCAACATGCACAGCACACAAAGGTAGCCCTGTTTTTACTTTACTGTACACGTGTGCGGTACAGAGAGAATAAACAAGATGGGTTGAAAAAACCATTTGCTCACGGGCACGTCTGGACCAGTTCAGGGGCAATGTAGGCCACCGGTCGCTTTCAATAAAAGCGCGAAATGATAAGAAAAACTGCACTCGTCGCAAAGTGCTAATGGCGACGACTCTCCGCAAAGGAGCGTTTGCTCTTTCCTGCACTTCTGACTTCTGTTCGTGTCAACATTGTGATCGTCTTGTCTGTAAACAATTGTAAAGAAAGGCAAAAAAAATTAACCCAATTAAAATGAGAAAAATAAGGAAATTTTACTCCACCATAATAAATTATGATCATCTCTATGAATCAATTTGATTATTTTTACTTTATTTTATAGTGCTTTTTAGTCTAAAATAATAAAGTTAAATTTTTATTATCATTTTTTTCCTCTTTACTGCCTCTGCTTTAAAGATTATTTCACATAAATAAATGCACTTTCCATGCAGTCAGAACTTCTTATTGTTAGATAATAATTTGAATTGGTTGATGCATTCCGAATTTTTCAGTAGCGAAATGTAAAATCAATGCATTTAAAAACAGATATTAAAGTTCTGAGATTTGTCTTGTTTAAATCATGTAACTTGGACCAAAAATGAAAAATTAATAATTAATTTTTAACGCCTGCATCATTCGAAGTATGCAACCTGCATGTCACTGTACAAAAAGAAACATCTAACGATAAAAAAGACGAGATAACGTTTACAAAAGGAAAGTTCTTTAAATTTTTGTATAATAAAGTGATTCTATTTTAGTTTATTATCTTTTATTTTACTTCTAAATTAACCAGAATTCAATTTGTTCACTATCATTTACTTATACTTAAATTATTCATAAAGACCAATTACTCGCAGTTGTTGTTTAAAGTCCCAGAAATGTAATTCTTTTATTTCTATTATATTTAAACTAGACGGGACAGGAATATCACAACAAGATTCTAATTTTCCATTCAAATTCAATCTTTATTTTCTCTGCTATTATTTACCTTATTTGAAATCAATAAAAAAAGGTGTCTCAAATTCTTTGGGGAAATATCTAGAAAATTCCTAAGAAATAGGTCAACGAAGATAAAGAATCAAATCAAACTGCACCGCAAAGAGCATTACGAGGGTGATATATGTGAGAGAGCGCAAGTAACACCCAATCAATCCCTTGGGTCAAGTGTATCGGAAAGAAACTTTACCTCTTATTCTGCGCACTCTTTCGAGTCGCTGCAAAACTAACTTTTCCTTCACTGCCGCTCCTTAAAAAACAATAAAGATCTATATACGGACCAATCTCATTTATAGTATCAAAAAGAGCAGCCGCGTGTGACCAGGGCATCGCGCGCGACAAAGGGCGCGCCGGAATAATAAAGAGCGGCCGGAGAAATCGCGGCGCACTTTCTTTCTGCCATTATTAAAAAGCCGGCGCTCGTCTCGGGTTGATAGCAAGCAAATGCTTTCCTCCAGCCCGTCTCGTCGTCAAATGAGTAAATATACGTGACTCGCGAGCCGGGCGAAGGCTCTTTTTCAACCCCGTTGACACAGAAAGGGGCGGAGGCAGGAAAAAATTTCTTCCGGATGAAAAGCGTTTGTTCAGTCTCTGCATATTTGTTTCCGCTTTCAATTTATTTCATTTTCTATGGACGTTTCCGCGTTTGTTTGAGACAATAAAAAAAGTAAACGGATATAAATGGTATTAAATCAAGGAGCGCTCAGTATTTAATTCATCCAATTCCAGAATTGTGAGACTCTACAACGACAGACTTTTTGAAGAAAAAATGTGATGCGAATTAAAATTTGCACCAAAAATGATTTTATATAGAGAACAACAAGCGATACATTATATATTAAAATTGATTAAAATGCTTTGATTTTTCCCAAAAACGAGGAAAAAAATATTTTAATAAATATGGTTTGCAAATAAAAATGCAGCAGTTTTGTTAATTTGATGATGATTTTTTCGCAGTGATTTGGTACCTCAATTTACAATGAAAGCAACAGAAAAGTTAGTTAAATTGAAAAAAACTAATGTTCAATTAAGTTTCTGAAATTGTAAAACTAATGAATAATGAATTTTTTAAATTCCATAATAATAGTAATGAAATTTCTTACTTATTATTATTTTTTTTAATTAATTTAATAATTTTTTCTTCTTGTTTTGAAATAGTTTCATTACAAATGTCAAATTAATAATTTTGATTTTTAAACGAAGGTAAAAAATCATTTTTAAGTGTGATCAGTGTTATCGTAATTTTAAGATGGATATAAATGCTACTCATATATTTCAAATCTTTTGTTACTTAATTTAATATATAATTTAAAATAGTAGATAATTGTGTATCAATCTTTTTATTTTTATAAACAGAATTAATGAAACTGTGAATAGTGTAAATGTTCTAAAAGTTGTGGGAGTAATTTAAATGTTTTTCCTTTTTTATTATTCCGAGATTGTATCAGTCCAAAGCCGCCCCTGTCGGGAATCTGAGATAAGTTAAATATAAATATCCGCAAAGCGGCAGTGAGTGAGAGTAGCGCCCGCGTTTTCTGTCCGGCGTCTCGGAGGCGGTGGGTGGGTGGTTGAGGGAGGTTGGTTTCGCCAGGGTGGCGCCCAAGCTCGCTCTCGTTTCCGCACACAAATATATTATATTGCAAATGCTCTCGGCTTTTAATCAAAACAAAATCTGCGCGTGATTCTCAGCGCGTTTTAGGCACAAACACGTCGCGTCTTTATGGGCAAACAGACATCCACCTGATTGCGAGATAGATTGATGGGGTTGCAACCCCCGAGGGGACGCTCAAGGCGTGAGCGTTCGTAACGGTCCCCGTTCGCTCATTACGACGAGTGTGTGCTTCGCGAAACTTGGCACCGAGATTGCGAGCCTGGGAATAATATCGAGGCAAATTGAAATTCAGCAAGTGCTTTCGTCGCGATTGCGAAACACGCACTCGCTCTATAAGCTTTCCTGGCACCCAAGAACTTTGCAAACGTGATTCCAAAACCAATCGCATTAAATTTTCGTTTGCTTCGGCGCAAAAAGAGAAAGACAGACAATTCTGGCTAAAAGCTTTTTTTGATAGGCAATTTCATCAAAATCATCGCAGCGAGACAGTGGAAGTGAAATGTGGAAATTGCGTCTGAATTCAATTTTCATTTTCCTCTTTGGTGTCTTGCCAATCGACTTAAAAGTTCCTTTTCATAATATGGTACGTGTTTGATCAGCTCCTTTTTACAAGTATATTCCACAAAATCTTTTTAATTTATCAAATTATTTGAAAATAACGTTTTGTTTTTATTTGATAACTTCAGTAAATTGCTTCAAAAGTTTTAAACAGCTTTAAATTTTAGTTTTTCGTCAAATATTTAATGTACAAAAATAGTTCAAGTCACCCAATCCACACAAAAAAAACCCTGATTTTTATGTAGTTAGAAATAAAGCCATTAACATAATCTTATTTCAATTTGAAGCTTCATGGAATGAGCAAATGGCAAATCTGCAATTTGCAACCCTTGGCCGATTTTACCACTGTTAGTTGGAGCGGACGCGAGAGAAACCTGTCCGGAAGCGAAGTTGACAAACTTTAATTACAGCCCACAAGTGTGGAGACTCTGACCGCAGGGGTTGACCGGAGTTGGCCGACCTGCAAAAATCACATAGCAAGACCCACTACTTTGTCTTCACTCTGAGAACATTTCGCAAAAAGCTAAAAAGCTGCGGGTCGTTAAATTTTACTGCCGCTTACAGGCAGCTTGGTTCGCAGCTCATAAAGTTTGCTCGTCCAACGCATGCAAGTCGCGACTCTGGATGGCAAGAGAGTGAGGAGTAAAAAAGTACATCAGCTTGATAAAAGTAATCCTACTGTTTATCTTTCTACACAAGTAGTTTGAGATTGTTCAAGAGAGACATAATAGATTAATTGTTTTTATTCTTTAAAATTCTTTTGAGAAAAAGAATTATTTATTTTTTTGCTTCATATGCATTCAATTTTTCAGATTTCATTTATTAACTATAGCTATGCTCGAAAAATCAATACAGAAACAAGAGGTATTTATTTATTATCTTTTAATGTTCTTTTTGATTACGTAAACTATTATTTTTAATTTTGAATTAAAATTCTGTAATTGCGAAAAAAAATATTTTTCTATGTTTTAAAACTCTGCTTATCCGTTTCAATTCATTGTGTAACTATTATCAAGCATTGCTAATGGAGGTCCAGCATACGTGCAGAAGGATTTAATCGCTTCCACGTTTTGTATGCATATGTTTAAGAAAGTCAAATTGACCATTAAGTCCCTGGGTGCGACGGCGACCAAATTGGGTTCCGGTTCCGCCTTCGAAACGACCAAATGCGGCATGCTGGTGTCTCCTTGAATTTTTATCGGAACTTCAGGATACTCTGGCGCTTTGCACCAACGGATTGTTCCGTTTTCATCCACGAATGTCTCCTCCCATAGTATATCCATTTTTGTACCTGCCTCAGAAGATATTTTAAATGTTTTAAAATCATCTGAAAAAAAGGACCAACCACCGAACGCATAGAAGAGCGTTTGGAAATCTTGCAAATTTGTGGCGTATGGACGATAACCAAAGTACTCGATCCAACAAAAATTCAATACCGATTTGCTATGAAGGATTGATATTAAAAATTGATGTTATTTTTCATTCCAATTATTTACAAAGATTTATGGATTTTGTAGGCCAAAGTGGAATTGTCCCTCAGATGAATCCTTATTGCTAGGATTTAATTTGATTTAGTAAGAAATTTAAAGTGCTGTATGCTTACGCAATAACGAGCAAAAGCTTTTAGAATTTTGTGGAGCTTTCTCAAAAATTTTATTCAACGAGCATTTAGAATTAGCGTATTCTAAATTAGTCGTCATCACTGGCGGAAGAATCTTCAATAAAATTATTATTAATATTTTTTATACTTCAAGAAATTTTTCATACATTTTTAACACAAACAGCCAACTGTGCCAACTTTTCCCAAAAATTAAGTTGCGAATTCGGCATCAGATCATTTCCTTTTAAAATGCATTGGGCCAGCAAATGGGTAAAGATGCAACTGTCTTTCGCTTCTAATACGAGAGCTGTTTGCAAAGTGTAGAAGCTTGCAAAATGTATAAATGGTTGAAATCAATTACCGTCTTTACTGCATTTGGAAAAGAGCTCTTTAAAAAGTGTGCGAAATTTGTACTCATTTAATTTTTGTTTTTCGTCTTCCTCGTACATGGCATACTCGATGAAAGTATCAAAGTTTTGATCGCCAATTCTTTCACCTACTAAACTTTTCACGCTCTCGTTTTTAGCATATTGCTTGAGCTGCGTATAGAATGATGCGCTGAAAATTAAAACAGTTAACTTGATACATCAAGCTGAGAGCGTTTTTGATAGTTTACAAAACATTCGAACCAGAGTCAAAGAAATTGTTAACTTCATTTGTGTCAACTTTCAAATTTTTGTCAATCTGTAATTGAAACAATGAAAATAATAATAATTAACGTAAAAATGATTTACAATTCCAAGTTTTTCCGCCAGACAGCTAATAAGGCACTAAGGAGAACATTTGCCCATAATATTACATTCAATTAGATTTTGCATGAATATAAAAAAAAATAATCATCAATTTATTCTCATCGTACCTTCATGTCGTATGAATATTGGGATATATCAATATTCTTCATTTTCTGAATATCCCCTATAATAAAAAAAATGTTTTGAAAAAACTAATTTAGCATCATTTTATGAAAAGTGGCAAGCAAAGTTGTAATTAAATTTATTTGAAGAGGATTATTGCACTGGCCGTGAGCCATAAAAATTTGTATAACTTGTGAATCTCTACTGTTCCAATAAAATAATAAGAAAAGACAATAGTAAATAATATGTAAAAAATTTCAGATTTACTTTTTTTTAAACCACTCCGAACTTGACATTCTTTTATCAAAGTCAAAGAATTTCCCACAGATGTGTAGCCTTCGTCTTCATTTTGTGGAAAAGTCTGGAAAATCATCGAGTTGAATTTAATTTGTACACACCTTCTAATATTTAATGCAAACTTCACAAATGAACGGGAGTTTTGCTTCACAATCCTCGCCACCCATTTCAGCAACATATTTATCGCCAGCCTCAATATATACACAACCATGTTGATTTTTTTCGCCGTCCGTTTTGAAAAATAAGTCTTGAGAACTGATCAAATAATCGTCTAAATTTGAGCACCACATAAGGCTTCCATTGTACTCGATTCCGGAAGTCCAATATTTCAAAGAATTTTCTATTCCGACTTGTTATGAAATTCAATTTTGAGTTTAAAATTTATTTTTAATTTTCAGCACCAGATCTCATGGCTTGACTTAAGCAATTTTGCTTTCCTAAAGTTTCAACCGCCACCAATGTCATTCCAAACGATAAACACATCCCGTGAGCTTCCTTCCAAGATTTCTACAAAAGTATAATTTTCATTTTTTAATATTTCTTTCGTAAATCTACCACACTTTTAGAATCGAAAATAGAATTAGTTTTCCACAAGTGTCACTCCATTTTCCAAGTTTGTATGGCTCTGCAAGTATAGCACAATTTTGAGTACAAAAGATACCACATAATTTCACTTACGGAAAAGATAAATCCTTTTCTTGACATAGGAATAATCTCGAATATTTATTACATACTTCGGCTTTATCTGCTCAAAGTTTCAATCAAAACAATCTGCAATCAAGATAACTAACTCACATGATCATCCAGCAACTCATATCGTTTCATTAGATGTTGAAACAAACAAAAATCTGGCCTTCCAGATCGATTTTCTTGATTTGGCGTGGCAGTACTGGTAGCAACTTTCAAATTTGCGTTATCCTGTATGAATTTTTCAACCGTCTTAAAAAAAGTATATTTCTGGCATCAACGCAAAAAAAAAGCCATTGCCTGGCCATTTTTCTACGTCTTTTGCAACTTGTAAAAAGACCTCAACGTATGTGGAACCAAAATCCAGTTTAACGCCGGCATTTGGATCTTCGTAGTAATAACAGGCCAGTCTGGCTTTGCTAGCGCATGGCTTGACTACAAAAGCCAAGCTTTGGATAGTTTCAATTTCCGTCTCGTCCATCAATCGCTGAGAAAAGGTTCGAGCAATAGCGACGCAGGCACCATCGTCATCAACGTTGATGATTGGATCCGTGAACGTCCATTCGCTTTGGTTTGTCAGACACCAAGAAAATTGTCCGACGCATCCTAGACGAGTCCCTCCAGTCCAAAAAGCTCCAGATTCAGCTTTGGAAAATAATGTTCTCCGATTTAAAGCAATTTTAAAAAGATTCACATACCCATATTAAACTCTTCATTAGTGAGCCCACCAAGTTCAAAGGTTGAGAAGGCATTATTAGAATAAAAGACTGGCTGCATTCCCAGCGAGCAACACGTTCTCCAGTTTTCATTCCACGTAACCTTCTTTTAATTAGATTCCAGACAACATATTATAATTTTATACCATTTGATTACTTGAGAGTAAAACATCCGAACCGTACAGCCACTTCCTCGAAGGAATTTTCACAAATGTGCCGTATTTTTCTGCATCTAAAGAGTTATGCAACTTAAATTTTTGGCCCTGAATATTCTATTTATAAAATTACTTTGCAGTACAAATTTATTACGAACTCTCATAAATAAGCTTTGCTGTAAAAGATTTAAATGTCATCGTGTAAACTAATAAAAATTTTCTACATTTCTGCTGCAAAATTTCCTGCTTGGACACAGAGCCTCCATGCAAGGATACTATAAATATTATACAATATTATAATCATGCAAAAAAAAGGTAAAATACGATGTATTTCTATTTTTCATCACCTCACAAAAGAAATGCAATTTTTGTTTGCATTCGACCCAGAAAAGCTTTTTATTACTTTTGCTCAGGGCGATACACAAATTTTTTCCTCTGGTTTTGTTTAAAACTGAAGCATTATAAAAGCAAGTCTTTTTCGACGAGCACCAAGTGATCCTTTGCTCCGCATTGGACAACACTGCACTCGTCCAATAGTCTGATGCTCGAAGTATAAATATACCGTCTCATAAATTTCTGTGTACTTGATATACCGTCATTGTCCACTTTTGTTACTCTAGGATTAGTGTAACTAAATCCAGCCATGGGAACTTGAGCTGCGAATAATTAAAATTTTTTCAAACGTTCTCAAAGAATACTTCAACAATGTAATAAATAATTAATTACCTTCTGGGGTGAATTCAGATACTTTAAAAAATTCCCCAGTTTTTTCAAACTCATCATTAAAGTTTTCAAGTGAAATAAGTTGCATTTTTCTGAGAAGGCAAAACTTAACTGCCGCAGTGAACGACAACTGTTTCAATAATAATAAATTGTTGAGTATAATTTTTAGAGAAGTAAATTTGGTAACCTTAATGCGGCTTTTGTAATAAATGCGTCCTGCATTCTGCATCTTGAAACCCTCACTGTTCCCTTTTGTAAAAAATAATTTGTTGACTCGAGCTAAAATAATGTTAAAAAAAATACTAAAAGATACAAATTAAGTCATTTCTCACATTCTGTGATTTGAATGAAGTCTACAAAGAGAATAAATTTATTATGGAGATGATTCTTTGCAAAAACCTTACCTTCTGGGAAAGAATCGTCCAAAACATTATTTACCACAGCGTCATATAAAGAACAATTTCCAAGCCGCTTGTTGTTGCAAATTTGGTCTTTTGCTTGGACAAACGTTTTGCAGGTGAAAATTATTAAAAATACTATCCATAGTTTTGAGTAAAAGTTGTGAGGCATATCAGTGTTTTGTCAGTTAATAAATAAACGCTGACTAAGCTGTTAGCAGCAATAATATCAGACGAAATTTCAGCACGTTCTATATATTAGAGCGTTTGCCATTAATTAAATATGGCGATGTAATTTCCGTTGCGCATGCAGTATAATTAATTAATTATTTGTTGAAAGATAAAACAAATGATAAAGATTCAAAAAACCGGACGTGTGCAAAAGCTATGTGATAAAAATCTAATTAAATATATTGCACACTGGCCAACTGGCGTTTTCTGTTTTAATGTGTTTCAAATTGTACAATAAACCCTCTAATTGTATAAAATGAAAAGTGAAAAATAATTAATATGATTAATATTTGCTAGAGATAAATTTTCACATCATATGCACACATTTATCAACCGATATTATAGAAACGAATATAATCTTTCAGACCACTAGTATTTCATTTTTTCAATCTATGGTATAATTATCCTTTTTAAATTCCTACAATTCTAAAAAGGGTTAGGGTTAGGAAAAAACAATTTTCACGTTTGCATTACACCCTTCTGGGATGCCCATGTATGTCCTTCAGTGAAGTACTGGCTTAAATTTTGTCAAAGCATTGAATAAAATGCTTAATTTAATAGAAAATCTCGTGTTTGTTTAAGAAGTGAATTTCTGTCTGCGCGAAAAGCCAGGGTTGAATTATAAATGAGGGCTGAAGCGGAAAGAGGATTTGCCACGCCCTGGAGAGTCTCTCATTCCGGCTGACTAAGCTAACGCCGCCGCACAAAATGCAAATATAACCAGCTAACAAATGGAATTCGGCGACTCTAATTCCACGACAGCTGCCTCGCGAATTTCGTTTCTTAAATTACCTGCCTGCCGCGGGGTGTAAATATTTCACGCTTCCGCCACTTTATGTACGGATTACACATTATTTGCATCGCGCGCGTCTAAGTGGCTGCGAGCGTGTGGTGTTTTTGTTTGCTGAACCGACGGAAGCTGTTCGGCTCTCTGCAACGCTGGAATTTTAATATGGAAGTGCTGCAGGAATTATGAGAGCTGCCTCGTCGTGTTTCACGTCACCCGACGAGTTTAATTTTAAGCAGGTAAAATAAATTAAGTGGTGGGTGTTGCGATTTAGTTTGGAAGGAAAGGCAAACAGCGGAAAGTTATCCAGAACTTTCCAACTCGCCAAAACTGTTTATATATTTAACATCAAAAAGTTTTGTTCATCGTTTATGGGACTTTAGAGAATTGGAGATTGAATAGGGAAGCGCAAATTTACAGAAAAATAATTACAAATTGAATTAAGAGACTTTTTTTTAAGTTCTTATTCAAAAGCTTCAAGTTTTTATTGAAAATTTTCATCACAGTTAATCTTTATATCTGTATAAAATATATTTTCGCCCAGTTTAGCCACAAATATCCCTCACCAATTTATTACAATTGTTGCTATCATATCCAAAATTAATTTCTGAAAAATGAATATTTTTTTAAAAGGAATTATTGATCAAAACGCCACTAGCAAGAAGTTGATAATTCTAATTAGTTTTTTAATTTAATTTCTTCCTTTGCAGTACTACAGAGTGACAGATAACTGAATTAATTTTAATTTTAGGGATTAAACAATTTTGTATTTGCCTAAAAAAAAAAAAAAAATATGCACAGTGATTTTCAAATTAATATCTAATTGTTAAATGGTTAAAGCTGATTTTTTTAAAACAATAACCGAATTCACAATTAAATTTCAATGGAATTACCAATTTGATTTATTGATATAAAAGAAAACCCTAGTTTTTGACAACCTAAAATATTCTCACCTAAAATCGTTTATATTATCATCTTTTTTTTATCAACATAAAGAAATTTTCAGTTTTTCCTCAGCTTTTCAGTTTTAGAATTAATTCAAGCAACACAAATCAAGGCAGGAACGAATCTTTCTAGTGGAATGAAGAAGAAGACTGCGTTCTCTGCTCTTTCCCGAAAGTAAAAGACGGGCCTGAAAGCTGGCAAAAGATCAGCTGTCACGGGCAAACGACGAGGATTTCGTGTCCGTAACGAGAAACTTGGCAGGCAAGTGACACAATTCGCGGAGCGAGGCGGACGGGTAATGAATTATTAACTTTAAGAACGACGACAAGTCAGCGGTGCAGACACAATTAAAACTGTCTGCGACGAACTCGATTATAATGTGTAACAAATAGTTTTGGATTAAAATACTTTTTCATTTGAAAAATATTAATCAATTCTGCAAAATTAAAATTCAATTTGAAACGTTGAAAATTTTTTAAGGAACTTTTTTACACCCATAATTATTTTTATTATTTCTGTGATCTTCAATTTGAAAGCTGAAGTTTCCTTTCAGAGATAATTTTTTGCGTAGATTTTAATGAGTACGAAATTTTTTGCTTTCTTTGAAACTGAATATGCCGTTCAATAATTTTTCTGCATACATTCATTCTCGTTATTATAAATTTTAATTTCTCTATTCATTTCTCCGCTGAATCCACCTTCTCGTTCCGCTCTTTCGCTCGGCAACGCTCTAATTGAAACGTGAGAAGCGGCCTTAATAAAGATAATGAGGACTCTACCAGCCGCGGCAG